TGATGGATGGATGGATGATGGATTATAGATGGATGTATAGATGGATGTATAGATTGATGGATGGATGGATGATGGATTATAGATGGATGTATAGATGGATGTATAGATGGATGGATGTATATATCAGTCTTCTTCCTCTCTGTCCTTCAGGGGGAAGGCGTGGCCTACAGAGGAAGACTTTTACTGGAACTGAGCACCAAACTGGTGGACAAGCTGGACCAGAGGACTGAAGACATCCCTTCAGATGACCTGCTGGTGGTGGAGGTGAGAAGATCTGACACAAGAAGACGGACGTAGATGGAAACTTTACCTTCTTCTCTCCGTCTTGCAGAAGTTCCTGAGGAAGAGGAAGTTCTCTCTCTTCGTGGCGTTTTACTCGGCCACGCTCCTTCAGGACGTCGACGACGCCATCCAGTTTGAGGTCAGCATTGGCAACTACGGCAACAAGTTCGACTACACCTGCCTCCCTCTGGCCTCCACCTCGCAGTTCAGCAGGGCCGTGTTCGACGGTAGGTTTGAGGTCTGAAGACCTGATGGTCCTCCAGTTCCCAGCTGTAACTCCAGGCTCTCCTCCAGGCTGTCACTACTACTACCTGCCTTGGGGGAACATCAAGCCGGTGGTGGTCCTGTCCTCAGAGTGGGAAGACATCCGGCCCAGGATGGAGGCTCTCAACATGCTGCTGACCATCGTAGACAAGCTGGTTTGTGTTTCCCGTACTCAACGTCCTTACAGCTAATTCTGTAAAGAAAGCTGTCTTTAAATGCCTTCAGGAGGCAAACCTGCAGCGGGTGCAGCTGGAAGTCAAGGCGGGCAGCGATCTGGACGAGGTGGAGCTGAGAGTGGTGGAGCTTCTGGATCAGCTGATAGCAGACTGCAGGTGAGTTCTGGTTCCTGTCTTGAAGAGCATCACGAGGAGCACGCTGATGCTGCTCTGGTCTCTGTGTCTCTGGCAGTGAGGAGCTGCCCTCCTTGGACCAGTGGCAGTGTGCCACTCCTCTGGATCGTTCACTCAGACACGTTCGAAGCCTCCACCTGCAGCAGATCGTCACCGCGGCTCTGGCTCTGAAACACGGACCTGAAACCGAGCTGTGCACGGTGCTGGAGCAGGCTGAGGACTGGGCCAACCGGCTGAGGAGCATGGCTGAGGAGGTGGGACCTCGCTAAGAGGCACTTCATTAACATTCTTCATAAGGATGGACTGAGTGCTCTTTTTGTCTGGTTGTCCCCCAGCCTCAGAACAGTCTTCCAGACATCGTGATCTGGATGCTGCAGGGCGACCGCCGGGTGGCGTACCACCGGATCCCGGCACACACCGTCCTCTTCTCCCAGGAGCACTGTGGGAAACACTGTGGGCAGCTGCAGAACGTCTTCCTGAAGGTACCTGTTCACACGTCCTCTCCTCTGTTAGGATGAACCGTGACCGACCTGTTGTGTGTTTGCTGATCAGTACCCGCAGGGCAGCGGTGCAGAAGCCAAACTCCCCGGTCAGCTGAGGGTGAAAGTTTGGTTCGGTTTGGCTGCTGACACCAAACACTTCAACCAGTACGCCGAGGGAAAACTGTCCGTCTTTGCAGAGACGGTAAGAGATGATAGCTAATGTGCTGCTTAATTTAGATTTTAGCTAACGTGTTGCTTAATTTAGCTTTTAGCTAACGTGTTGCTTAATTTAGCATTTAGCTAGTGTTTTAATTCAGTTAGCTTTTAGCTAACATGTTGCTTAATTTAGCTTTTAGCTAACGTGTTGCTTAATTTAGCATTTAGCTAGTGTTTTAATTCAGTTAGCTTTTAGCTAACGTGTTGCTTAATTTAACTTTTAGCTAATGTGCTGCTTAATTTAGCTTTTAGCTAACATGCTGCGTAATTTAGCTTTTAGCTAGTGTTTGATTCAATTAGCTTTTAGCTAGCATTTTTATTCAGTTAGCTTTTTACATAGTGTTTTGATTATTCAGCATTTAGCAAGTGTTTAGCTTATTTTAGCTTTAAGCTAGTGTTTTGATTATTTTAGCTTTCACTTAATGTATTGATTAATTTAGCTTTTAGCTAGTGTTTTGATTATTTTAGTTTTTACAGTGTTTTGATTATTCAGCATTTAGCTAGTGTTTAGTTTATTTTAGCTAGTGCTTTGATTATTTTAGCTTTCACTTAGTGTTTTGATTAATTTAAATTTTAGCAAGTGATTAGATTTTTTAGCATTTAGGTAGTGTCTAGTTTATTTTAGCTTTAAACTAGTGTTTTGATTATTCAGCATTTAGCTAGTGTTTAGCATATTTAGCATTTAGCTGGTGCTTTGATTATTTTAACTGTAAGGTAGTGTTTTAATTATTTTAGCTTTTAGCTACTTTTTTTGCTTAATTCAGCTTCAAAGTAGTGTTTGTTTTAAGTAGTGCGTTGCCTATTTTAGCTTGTAGCTAGTGCTTAGGCTTTTTTAGGTTTTAGCGAGTGTTTTGCTTATTTTGTATTTTAGAGAGTATTTTGCTTATTTTAATTTTTAGCTAGTGTTTTGCTTTTTTAAGGATTTAGCTAGTGTTTTGCTTTTTAAGAACTTAGCTAGTGTATTGTTTATTTTAGCTTTAGTCAGTGTTATAATTTTTCTTAGGTTTTAGCTAGTGCTTTGCTTAATTTAGCTTGTAATTAGTGTTTTTGCCGCTTTTAGCTATTGTGTTGCTTTTTATTATAGTTAGTGTTTTGCTTAATTTAGTTTGTAGCTGATTTGAGCTTTTAGATGGTGCACTAATGTGTCTTGTAGCTTTCATTCAGTAGTCAAAATGAGTGAAAAAGATGCTAAAATCCAAAGAAAAAGCCTCAAAGTTTTTCAGACAGCCTAAAGAAATGTTGATGAAGACCAGTTTAAAGGTTTATGAGACTCTGGCTGCTTTAGAAATAAGAAATAAAACAATCATAGATGGTTTGGGACTTTTTACAGCACAGTTTACCGTCTCTCTGGTCCTCTGCAGTATGAGAACCAGACCCGGCTCGCCTTGGTGGGGAACTGGGGAACAACGGGATTAACGTACCCAAAGTTCAGCGACGTCACCGGGAGAGTGAAGCTGCCCAAAGAGAGTTTCAAACCCTCGCCTGGATGGACCTGGGCCGGAGACTGGTTCATCAGCCCCGAGAGGACGTGAGTCCATTTATTAACCCTTTAGACACTTTAACCCTGCTGCTGCCCTTGGGTCAAAACAAGTGATAAAGACATTTCATAAAAACATGTAGTGATTACAGCAGCGGTGGGCTCAGTTCTTCAGAATGTTATCTTTACTGACAACTAATCTGTTGAAAAAGAATCTTAGTTCTGCTAAAGCTAGTTTGCTAAACAGATAAAAAATAGTGGAAGCTAACGCTAAACGCTAAAATGACTGTCAGTCTTCATCACCTCCCAGTTGAAGACTGTTGGAACTGACAAGTTTTCTATTGGTTTCATTTAAAGGTGGGCGGGATCATCTGTGGCAAATCGGCCAATCCAAACCTTCTGGTTTACCCCTTTCATAATAATAGCATTTCTTTTATTAAGTTTGTGTTTTTATAAATACCAGTTGT